CTATTGATTTCACAAAAAGGTTATGTATGTAGTTACCTTGGTTAAACTTTGGCGGTTCGTAACTAGCTATCCAATCATTATCTGGCTCTGAAATATCTGGGGGCACGGCAGTGCCCCCACCAAGTCGAGCAAAAAAGCGGCACGGCCGTACCATCCTTTTCTCAAAGCAATTCAGGCCATTTTCGACCGCCTGTAACTTCGTTGTGGATAAAACTAGAAGGCTGAATTTTCATTAGCTATGCAGGCATTGTAAAGACACGGTATATTTAAAATTTCATTCAATTTGAACCAGTAGTTTAAGAATTATAACGGGTCAAAGTTACTTAATTTTGTCACTCACTGACTGACTCACTGACTCACCGATCATCAAAACTCTAAGGCACTTCTAGCAGACCTAGAAGCTTCAAATTTGGAATATAAGTAGTGTTTGGTGTATGAATCAAGGAAAAACTAAAATATTTGGGGGCACGGTAGTGCAACCGCCAAGTCGAGTAAAATTTTTCAATTTCGGTCCAGTTTTCTAGATACATAACTGCTGTCTACAAAATACAAAAAGAAATGACAGCTAGACATCTTCGCACGACACAATTCCCTCGCATATCTCTGGGAAACGCAGCATCCTCTCCCTCCCCCAAGGATCTCCACAATGTGCCCGCATCCAGGTTCTTCCCGCGACCTTCACCAGATCGTCGGTCCACCTAGTGGGAGGTCTGCCCACATGCTGATAACATGTTCCATCGTAATAAACTTCTTTCCGACATAATTTAATAAAGAAAACACCTAAAATGACCTAAAACCACAATTTTATTTTGCTTTTCACACGTCAATAAGCCAGTGAGTTACGTTACTGTGACAGCTAAGGTATTTTTCGATGACATCTTTGAAAATTGCAACTCATGGTAAGTTATTTGTATGAAACTTAATAAAAACTTTAGTCGCTATCGTATTCATTTAGATAGGTTTTTTACCTAACGATTTGAGATGAACTCATGGTAGTGTTTTTAGTTTTGCTGTGGTTCAGCTACTAACCGCTAGAGGCGCTGTACAATTTGCCATACATTTTTTTACGTCCTCGATAGCGAGATGCTCGGTAGGTAAACTCATGGTAGAGGCACAGAATAAAATTTTGATAGCTATTTCATTTGTTTCAATTCGAACTTAGATTTTGAGTTCGGATAAACGCCCTTTCTAGTTATTTTAAGCTCTGATATCCGCGTGCTCGTAGTTTCATTCAGCTCAATAGTTCTCACCACAAAGTCTCAACTAATTAGTCTCTTATACTTAAACCTTATAGTTAAGCCTTTCTTTCTATAAATAAAACGTCATGTCCATAAGCTGCATGCAATATGCAGGTGAGAGTTCGAAGTAGACCATAGACCTCATAACGCAACTGTAGATGACTGCTACGATTACGAATGGACCAGATGACAATGCTAGTGATACACTTATGAAATATCTAACCACCTTTCTAGTCAGTTTCGTGAGGCTCATTTTTACCAAGAACCAAGACTGTTTAAAGCAAAAATGGACCAAAATCCAATCTTCCATCATCAGCAGCAATAAAATATTCCTTATTCTCATTCGCATTCCCGGTATCGATTTTCGGATTTTAATTACACAAAGAGTAAGTGCCTCGAGCAATCAAGATGGGACCTTGTGACCCATTTTAAAAGTTTTGCTCGCGAAACGAGGGGAGTGATAAATGGGCGGCATCAATCAGAGAATTTTAAGTGTTGCGAATTTTCATTCGCATTGAAAAGTTATTAAAGCAATCCAGATATGAAACAGGTTCAAGAAGAATAAAAGAAAGCAGCTTTTAGTCTTTGAAAGATTTCGTTTTTTACCTACGCGTGCTTAGTTGACACTTTTGGTACCTATTTTTCTTAGTTGACACTTTTGGTACCTATTTTTTGGTAAATTCAATCTTAGGATACAAAATTTTTCAATTTAGCTTTTCCGATGTACTTTCTTGTAGCGAGCAGTGGATGCATTTATGATCTCCATTGGGATTTTTATTATTAGCCTGTACATACACACATTCATATCGATTCGTTCGTTCGTTCGTTTCAGCCAAATGACGTCCACTGCTGGAAAAAGGCCTCCCCCAAGGTTTTCCACAAATCATCAATTCTGCGCTGCCCGCAACCAGGTTATATCCATTAACTCTTTCTTATTAGTTACCTAAATAATTGGGTAAAATATTTACATTTATAGGTAACACTCTGTTCCAATACTGCACCTAATCGAGTGACCATTCTGTAATGTTCATCTTTGCCGATATCGAACCTCCTTTACGTAACAAAGTACTTTCTTACAAAGTTTTAAGTGAAACGTTCCATTCAAACTGGGTGGGAAATTCAGACTGACGGGCAGGGAGTCCATCGTAGGCTTGTATCTTTAGATTAATTTAGTTTACTCCAATTTTAACAAGGTAATTAAGAAAATAGCATTTCTAATTATACGTAAGCATTTTATGCTTAGGTAATGTATGGATTAAAGTAACACTTTCATCAAATGAAAATCTTCGTAAACTTTTTGTTTAGAGTTATTGATAACTAATTATAGTTAAGCTATTAAGCTGACTCGGTGAACTTGATGCCATCCTCTGTTCATCCCAATAATGTAGAATTGTAATAAATGGTAATAGATTTTACAAATCGTTCCAGTAGTTACAGAGCTAATTCAGTGCAAACAATCCAATCTTTCCACTTTACAATATTAGTGTCGATGTAGATTAACATAATTTGAAGAATCGGTTATTAATCGTTTGATTCTACAGTTTGTAAGAAAAATGCTTATAAAAATGAAACAGTAGCAAACCATAGGACATTTTTGATGCTAGAGTTTAAAAAAAAGCACTAACCTTTATCATTTAGAACAGCCTCTCTAGACAAGTGGCAAAAACGTGACAGTTATAACACAGTAGATAAATCAAACAGTACGGAAGCTTCATACAAACGCTCGAAATCAGACTCACGCACACAGACGCACGCTTTACACGAGCTCTAAGCGAACCTCGCAGTCCATCCGTCGCGAGTGTCGCGCGCGTTGTGTTTTTAATTTAATAATAATTGTATTGCATGCGCTGTCCGCTGTATTTTTAAAAACATGCCACGAGCCGAGCATGGAGTGTATTGCGTGAAAATAGTTTGGAATTACTTTTTAAATAAAATGCTTAATTAATTACGTAATTACGCTTCTTAACAATTTACCTGTTCTATTTGATAAGTAATTTGATTCGATTTTGATTTGCTAGTTTATGTAACTTCTTATACCTAACTAACAAAAAATAAAGACATCGTATTTATGTTGAATTGTTGGACGTTTTTTTTATTACCTTACACATTTTTTTAAAAACTAAGTACTGTTAATGGAGAAAAATCTAAAACGTTAAAAAACGGTATCGTTATAGCCAATGAGCTGAATATCTAGTCACTCTAAAAACTTCAGATAAAGGGACGCGCGCGGACGACTCCGCGCGACAACCCTCACACTCAATTGAAGTGTAGGTATTTAACTCGCCGAAAGGGCCTAGTTTCCGTACTGCTTTAGCTCATATATATACTGTGGCAAGAATTTACCAAGTGTTATACCATTTTGGAATCCTTACTAAATGCGCCAAATTGTGACGTCACTTGCCACACTCGCGTAGTACAATTTTTTTTCAGTACAGTCAGTTTAAACTAGGCAACATTTTTATTTTGAAAATTTTTTTGGGAAAAATTTATTTTTTACATTCAAGCTGGAGCAGCTGGTTTTGTAATTTTGATAACAATTTAGAGAAGCATTATTCAGGGTTACATAACAAAAAAAAAATTTGGAAAAAGTGAAGATTTGTGGCAACACGAGCAAAAGGACCGTCACCTGGAGTAGAATTTTTAGATTTTTTTTAAATGCCTATTATTTTTAAAATATGCCACATAGATTTTTTTTTATATTTTTCTGATAACCAGCACAACTTGCCTCAACACCCAGTTCCGGCTTGACGTTACATTACGGGACACCCTGTATAAAAGGAGAAACTGACTGACTGACTGACATATTAACGCACAGCCTAAACGGCTAAACGTAGGCACTTGAAATTTGGAAGGGACGTAGCTTAGGTACCGTAGAGGTGCACTAAGAAAGGAATTCCCGAAATTTCCACGGGAAAGGGAATTAGCGGGAAAATCCTTTTGTATGAAAAATCTAAACCGTTTAAGTTAGACGCTTGAAATTTGGCATGTATGTAGGTACCTTAGTAAACTTAAAGCTTAGATACAACAGGATATTGCAAAATTCTTACGGGAACGGGAGTTAGCGGGAAAAAACATTTGTATGAAAAAATCTAAACCGCGTAAGATAGATGAAGACGGGTAAAACGGGATCCACGCGTACGAAGTCGCGGGCGGCTGCTAGTATGTTCATAATGTTTGTACTGTGCGGGAATCGAATCCGCTACAAATTTTCAATAAGTAAAAGTTATAAGTTCAAATCATTGTATCAATCAATGTATTTTGTTTTTGAAATGAATAAATGAAATGAAATGAAATTTCACCTATTATAAAAATCGAGTAAGTAGATGCTAAAATGAAAAAAAAAAAAAATTTTTGCTTTTCCATTTTCTTTTCATTGAAATTAAGATGTTTTGAAGCTTTTGAATGCGTGTGGGTATTTTACGGTGTAGGTACCTTATTTATTTAGTGTGTGACTTGTTTCTATTTTGTATTTGAAGTTTTAAATGAAACAAAAAAGTTACATCATACATGAATTTATTGCAATCAAGAATAATGTACATTGTAGGTACGTACGCAGCGCGCAGTATCCTACTAGGACTCATCTATCTGTCTAACAATAACACTTAATTATAAAAGCAATACATAAACACTTAATTTTTAAACGATATAAAACTAACTAACCTAAGAATGTACAGTATTTACAACTATTTACAATATAAACGACACACCAGAATTAATAAATAGAAATACACATAAAACACTGACAAATATTTAAAAAATACCTTAATATTTACTATGTACATCAAACAATCTTTGCAAAGATTGCTTGGGATCAATTGGTTCCGTTTTCCAATCATACTGCAGGCAACTCGAACTATTTGACGCGCCAACCTCTGGTGGAGAGATCGGCTCGTAAAAGTCCGAGTCGCTGTCGGTAAGGTCGACAAACGGCACAGGCTTTTGACACTCGGACAAGGTGGACAAGTCCAGATCTTTTGGCAGGCACTTGTCGATCGCGCTGACCAGCTCGCTTATTGCCACCTGGTCAAGTGTTACCGTCCCATCTTCGCCCGCACGTCCCATGAGCCACTCCGTGTGGGCGAAGATGTTGTTTTTTGGAGTTGGTTCCAATGCCACCTCCTCCGTTTCTTTCTTGAAACGTAGGCGGCGGTTTTGGAACCAGACCTTAATAGCCTGCTCATTGACCCCCAGCCGCTGCTCCAGCGTGCACCGCTCCTCCTTGGTCACGAACTGCTGCGCCTGGAACAGCTGTTCCAGCGCCAAGGCCTGCTCGGTGGAGAACGCGGTGCGTTTGCGTTTGCGAGTCACCAGAGGCTTAAGACCATCAGCCGAAGGAACAACTGAAAAGAATATTAAAATCAGTTTAGTTGGTTATTTATTGTACACAAGTGTTGCGAAACAATCAATCACACTTTTATGCAAAAAAAAAAAGTAAAACACTTTTATTTTGTAACCTACATGTAATTTGGGCGACATGCTGCTTTGGAGGCAAAGCAGGCCCCAAACCTGGCGCCGCCGATGGCGCAGAGAAGTCTGGAGTCTGAAACAACACAAATTATAAATCAGTATTTTATCCTAGATTTTTGAAATAATTCAAATTCAAATCATATTAACTAATATGAAAAAGGTGGCTGTAAAAAATCTTCTTACATTGGCGGCCGTTGATAAATTATTGAAGAGATCCCAGTCGGCGTGAGTGGCGCCCTCGTGGAACAGGTTCGGACAAGGAGGCTGGGCCTGTGGAAAACAAAATTTATAAGTAACAGAGTTTCTATGCAACATTAAATGGTATAAAAGTGTAATAACAACAAAAACCTTACATTAGAAATGGTATTGGAAGGGCTTGCATTTTCAGCAGCATAGCCGGGAGTAAATTGCGGAGCGCTCACGTTCTGTAAATAAAACAAAAAATCATTAAAAAAATGAAACACAATTTTCAATCACGCCATGATTATTGCAACCTTGTAACAAATATTTTATTATATAAAATAAAGAACATACCTGGTACTGCTGTTCTATATCCGCTAGCAACTCATCTACTGAGCATGACATGATGTCGATAGAGCTCATTGTAAAAAGTTTATGGATTACTGGTGTTCGTTCACGTCAAAGCACTAGGCACGACTGATGCTCTGCTAAGCCCGACTTGAGCTTACAACGACCTTTAGGTCTTTCAGCAAACCCTTAATGACTCACCCTTTCTCTCAGCAGACCCGGTGACTCCAAACTTGCATTGTCTCTTATCGCCATTCAGGTAACCACTTAGTAATCGAGGGATTATAATTAGCTAATTATTTCGTTTGTGTCCTTGTTATCTTATTGGGATGGCACTATACTAAAATACACTAGTCATCACAAAAACCGGACATGTTTCAATATTTTGAATAAAATTTAATTATAATCGTATAAATATTAACTAAACAACGTCTTCATTTTTCAAATTCAAATTCTTTATTGTCCATGTTGGTATACAAAGTTTTTACAAATGAGTAACCTAAATCATCAATTTTTCACATTTTTACAAAAAAAATAAGGAATGACCGTTGTTACCCTTTTTTATAATTCTGGGCTAATTTAATCCATATGACACTCATAAAATCAATACAATAAGAATCTCCAATAACAATAAGTTACACTGTTGCAATCAGTACGTTACTAAACTGACGATTTACGAGTATACAGGGCCAAAAGGAATATTCACTGGCACATTCATCAATTCGGCACTAAGCAGTGAGCTTTTAAAAGTTTGCGAAGTTCATCTGCGTTAAGACTGATGAGAATTAAATGTCAAACATCATAATATCCAACGCTAGACAAAAACAAAACATACCTACCTTGTAAACGCTCATCTTTGAAATCTGGCAGGGCAAAAAAAAAGAATGAGACATGAAATGTATAGGCTCCTTNTAAAAGTTTGCGAAGTTCATCTGCGTTAAGACTGATGAGAATTAAATGTCAAACATCATAATATCCAACGCTAGACAAAAACAAAACATACCTACCTTGTAAACGCTCATCTTTGAAATCTGGCAGGGCAAAAAAAAAGAATGAGACATGAAATGTATAGGCTCCTTAAGAGCATTTGACGATGTATGTGTAAGTACTAATTTAATTAGTCTATAGGTACAAATAAAAATAATTTTGCTTTGATTTGATTTGATTTGAAATACTTGAGAGCAACAGTGTAAAAATAGGGTGGATCAACTTTTTGTGATGACATTATTAATTGCTTCTAATATTGTTAGATAAACAACGTGAAAAAAATTGCCACCCACAAATTTTGACCAGAGATACATACNAAAAAATTCAAATTCAAATTCAAATTCAAAATTTATTTATTTGGTAATAATAGCACACAGCACTATAACCACCAAGGTTATAATGTGATAATTAACTAATTATCCGACTTATTCGACAGGTTATACAAATAAGAATACTTAGTAAGTACCTACTTATAAATATTAAAACACTTTAAGTACATCTAATCAAATTTTTGCACTAATTTTAATTAATGGCATTATCGCAGCACAAAAGTAGTTAAATTATTGTTAAATTGCCAGTCACAAATTTTGACCAGAGATACAGCTTGATGATGGAAGTTATAACCATGAGTTCTTGAAAATACTTACAAGTTGCAGGCAAAAGTGACGTTATATTTATGTATAAAAAGAATAATACATTACCAGTAAGGGAGGTATTTATCCCACCTACCACGGCAAGCGCCTTAGCTTATTTCCAATCATCATTTCAGCCACAGGACGTCCACTGCTGAACATAGGCCTCCCCCAATGCTTTCCATGTTGATCGATTGGTAGCGGCCTGCGTCCAGCGCTTCCCTGCTACCTTTACGATGTCGTCGGTCCACCTTGTAGGCGGACGTCTCACGCTGCGTTTTCCGGTACGCGGCCTCCATTCCAGAACCTTTCTGACCCATCGGCCGTCAGTTCTGCGTACTATGTGCCCTGCCCATTGCCACTTCAGCTTGCTAATCCGTCGGGCTATGTCAGCGACTTTGGTTCGTTTACGGATCTCCTCATTTCTGATTCGATCTCGCAAAGAAACACCAAGCATAGCCCTCTCCATAGCACGCTGTGCAACTTTGAGCTTCTGTATAAGGCCTATAGTGAGAGGCCACGTTTCCGAGCCATAAGTTATCACTGGTAACACACATTGGTTATACACTCTAGTCTTCAGGCATTGAGTCTTACATTGGCGGCCGTTGATAAATTATTGAAGAGATCCCAGTCGGCGTGAGTGGCGCCCTCGTGGAACAGGTTCGGACAAGGAGGCTGGGCCTGTGGAAAACAAAATTTATAAGTAACAGAGTTTCTATGCAACATTAAATGGTATAAAAGTGTAATAACAACAAAAACCTTACATTAGAAATAGTATTGGAAGGGCTTGCATTTTCAGCAGCATAGCCGGGAGTAAATTGCGGAGCGCTCACGTTCTGTAAATAAAACAAAAAATCATTAAAAAAATGAAACACAATTTTCAATCACGCCATGATTATTGCAACCTTGTAACAAATATTTTATTATATAAAATAAAGAACATACCTGGTACTGCTGTTCTATATCCGCTAGCAACTCATCTACTGAGCATGACATGATGTCGATAGAGCTCATTGTAAAAAGTTTATGGATTACTGGTGTTCGTTCACGTCAAAGCACTAGGCACGACTGATGCTCTGCTAAGCCCGACTTGAGCTTACAACGACCTTTAGGTCTTTCAGCAAACCCTTAATGACTCACCCTTTCTCTCAGCAGACCCGGTGACTCCAAACTTGCATTGTCTCTTATCGCCATTCAGGTAACCACTTAGTAATCGAGGGATTATAATTAGCTAATTATTTCGTTTGTGTCCTTGTTATCTTATTGGGATGGCACTATACTAAAATACACTAGTCATCACAAAAATCGGCCATGTTTCAATATTTTGAATAAAATTTAATTATAATCGTATAAATATTTACTAAACAACGTTTTCATTTTTCAAATTCAAATTCTTTATTGTCCATGTTGGTATACAAAGTTTTTACAAATGAGTAACCTAAGTCATCAATTTTTCACATTTTTGCAAAAAAAAATAAGGAATCACCGTTGTTACCCTTCTTTATAATTCTGGGCTAATTTTATCCATATGACACTCATAAAATCAATAAAATAAGAATCTCCAATAACAATAAGTTACGCTGTTGCAATCAGTAGTACGTTACTAAACTGACGATTTACGAGTATACAGGGCCAAAAGGAATATTCACTGGCACATTCATCAATTCGGCACTAAGCAGTGAGCTTTTAAAAAGTTTANACGCATTGCCATTTTCATTTTCTTTGAACTGGGCTGAACATACCAGCTACCAGGTGTCTAATTATAAACACCGTATCGGTTACTTAAACTTTACTCAAGGTAAGGTGGAAATAAATTTTTCGGTCAAAACGCATACAGAAGTATACTATGCGGCACTCCTACGCCTAAACTATTGATTTCACAAAAAAGTTATGTAGTTACCTTGGTTAAACTTTGGCGGTTCGTAACTAGCTATCCAATCATTATCTGGCTCTGAAATATATTTTATTCTACTAAAGACATTCGATTTTAATGTCAAATAAAAAAGCGGTTGAAAACACGCGAGAAAAAAAAATTGAAGCAGTTTTCAGGTCAAATTTCGGAAAAAAATAAATAAAAACAAAAATAAGTATCAATTAAAAAAAAGTAGCTCACTTAGGGTAAAATGGGCAAATACAAGTAACTTGTATTTTTAAAAATGACCTTACCTATACACCCACATATTTATTATTGATCAGATGTTACAGTTATTATAAGGAAGTTTTGGTAACATTCTGTGAAATAGGCATGTTTTCACATAATTATTATGACAAAATACCTGTATTCGGATACTGATAATGACAACTTGTAAAGTAATTTTGAAACTTTATTTTATTCCATTTAATCATCACATTAATAAAATACAAAACCACCATTGAACATCATAAAGATTTCAGTCAAACTATGAGCTTCAATAAAAAATCCATAAAAAGAGTTCACGTTTCTGAACCTTAATTTTAAGTGTGTACTTTACATAATATTATGTGTGTATTACTGGTAAACATATACGATTCAAATAACAGCAGGTATAATATTATAACAGATCTATTTGAAACCTTACAACATGTAATACTTACAAAACGTCTAATTCTTCTTACTATTATTAAACATACATTTTACAAACTAAGCTAGGGAAACTAACAAACAAAGAGAAAATAAAATATAAGTAAGCTAATTTAAGAAAAGAAAAATAACTATAAATAAATAACCATAATAATTACATAGACTTACATACACTACACTAAATAAATAAAAAAATACCTACCATAGATAACTAGCCCTAAAACAATGGTCTATAATCGGTTTGTGTAAGTAGTCGTTAAACGTGGGCTCCGCACAGTCCTATAAAGAAGCTCAAAATTGCACAGTGTGAAGAGGGCTATGGCTATGCTCTGTGTTTCTTTACGTTGGGCTATACCTTTTTGTGATCGAATCAGAAATGAGAAGATTCGAGCAGGCCATTGCGGTCTGGTTTCAAAACCGTCGGCTGCGTTTCAAAAAGGAAATGTAAGACGAGATATTATTAGAACCAGCTCCAGAACAAAACATGTTCGGCCACACGGAGTCGCTCATGGAACGCGTAGCCGAAGACGGTATAATATGGAAGTGGTTAATGCAATTGATAGGTGTTTGCCAAAAAACCTTGATTTGGTCTACTGGGAAGTTTTTCTCTTCAATTTATCAACGCCTGCCAAGACAACAGTAAAATATACCTTCTTCATAATATTTTATAAATAACTTGAAAAAATCTTCTTCGTCATCTTCTCCATAATACTATTTATTCAAGTCTTAAATTTTCAAAATCTCAATTAAATACTGATTTATGTTATTTCAGACTCCGGACTTCTATACGACATTAGCGGCATCAGCGGTGGGGCCTCTTTTACCTCCAAAACAGCATGTCACCATATCAAAATAAAAGTGTTTCATCTTTATTTTTAATAAAAAGCGTTAATTTTTTAATATATATTTTTAATCTGATTACCTATAATATTCTTTTCAGTCGTTCTTTCAGCCGATGGACTGAATCCGGTGGTGATGCGCAAACGCAGACGCACTGCGTTCACCACAGAGCAGGTCATGGTGCTGGAACAGGAATTCCAAACCCGGAAGTACCAAGGAGGAGCGGAGCGTGCTTTAGCAGCGGCTCACAATCAACGAACAGGCCATTAAGGTATTGTTTCAAAACCACCGGCTGCGTTTCAAAAAGGGAATGGAGGAGGAGGTATTAGAACCAGCTCCATAACATAATGTGTTCGCTCACATGGAGTCTCTCAAGTAACGCGTGGGCGAAGACGGGATTGTGACACTTGACCAGCAGGAAATTAGGTGCTTGCCAAAAAGCCTTGATTTGATCGACTTGTGCCACTCAGAAAAAACTGTTCCGAGTCTCCACCAGAGGTTGGCGCATCACGTCGAGCTGCATGCAATATCATTGGCAAACAGAAAAGTTTTATCTCCCACCTTTATTTTTCAATGAACAGTGTAATTGACTGCATTGTACAAACAATTTTGAGAAGTTTGTTAAAATCTGAAACTTCAGCCGATGGACTGAATCAGGTGGTGACGCGCATCACACACGCATCATAGCGCTGGAACAGGTATTCTAGACCCAACAATACGTCACCAGGGAAGAGCGGAGCGTGCTGAAGCAGCGGCTCACAATTAATGAACAGGCCATTATGGTATGGTTTCAAAACCACCGGCTGCGTTTCTAAAACGAAATGGCCTCCTCCATTTCATTTGATCCAGCTACAGAACACAACGTGTTCGCCCACACGGAGTCGCTCATAGAACCCGGGGGCAAAGACAGGATTAGGACATTTAACCAGCAGGTAACAAGCGGGCTGGTCAATGCGATCGATAGGTGCCTGCCAGAAGATCTTGACTTGTCCGCCTTGTGTGAGTCTGAAAAGCCTGTGCCGTTTGTCGATCTTACCGACAGCGACTCGGACTTTTACGAGGTCGCGCTCGCGATCTCTCCACCAGAGGTTGGCGCGTCAAATAATTCGAGTTGCCTGCAGTATGATTGGCAAACGGAACCAATTGATCCCAAGCAATCTTTATAAAGATTGTTCGATATTCATAGTAAATTNAGTAAATTTTAAGGTCATTTTTTAATATTTGTCAGTGTTGTGTATAAAATTTGTATTTCTAGTGTGTTGTTTATATTGTAAATAGTTGTAAATACTGTACATTCTTAGGTTAGTTAGTTTTATATAGTTTAAAAATAAGTGTTTATGTATTGCTTTTTTTAGACAGATAGATGAGTCCTAGTAGGATACTGCGCGCTGCGTACGTACCTACAATGTACTGTACTTACATTATTCTTGATTGCAATAAATTCATGTATGATGTAACTTTATTGTTGTGTCTTCAGTGTTGTGTATTTGTATCTATTAATTCTGATGTGTTGTTTAAATTGTAAATAGTTGTAAATACTGAACATTCTTAGGTTAGTTACTTTTTATATATTTTAAAAATGAAGTGTTTATGTATTTCTTTTATAATTAAGTGTTATTGTTAGTCAGATAGATGAGTCCTAGTAGGATACTGCGTACGTCGTACAATGTTACATTATTCTTGATTGCAATAAATTCATGTATGATGTAACTTTATTGTTTCATTTAAGTCAATGCAAGCGACAGGTGCCTGCCAGAATATCTTGACTTGTCCGCCTTGTGTGAGTCTGAAAAGCCTGTGTCGTTTGTCGATCCTACCGACAGCGATTCGGACTTTTACGAGCCGATCTCTCCACCAGAGGTTGGCGCGTCACATGCTTCGGGCTGCGTGCACGTGCAGTATCATTGGCAAACACAAAATATTGACCCCACACAATATCTTCAATGATTATTGGATGTCAACAGTTTCAATGTTACTTAATATTGATTATTTAAGCGGTAGCGGTCAGAGTGACGGCTGGGCGAGGGGTGCTAAGAATACCCGGAGGCGGAACAGCTACCACCACCAACGAAAACTGGCCCAGATAACGCACAATGTACGCACGTTGAAGACCGACGAAAGGATCATAGAGCTGGAAGATGAAATGAGAAGGAGCAGGCCATTATTAAGGTATGGTTTCAAAACCACCGGCTGCTTTTCACAAAGGTATTTGAACCAGCTCCAGAAGACAACATGTTCCACACGGAGTCGCTCATGGAACGCGTAGCCGAAGACGGGATTGTGACACTTGACCAGCCTGCAATAAGCGAACTGGTCAATGCGATCGACAGGTGCCTGCCAGAATATCTTGACTTGTCTGCCTTGTGTGAGTCTGAAAAGCCTGTGCCGTTTGTCGATCTTACTGACAGCGACTCGGACTTTTATGAGCCGATCTCTCCACCAGAGGTTGGCGCATCACATGCTTCGAGCTGCGTGCAGTATCATTGGCAAACAGAAAATATTGATCCCACACAATCTCTTCAATGATTACTAGATGTCAACAGTTTCAAGGTTACCTACTTAATATTGATTATTGTAGTATTTATTGATTATAATAATATGATTATTATAAAAATGGTAAAATACCGTACATTTTTAAATTAATCATTGGTCGCTATTTTTGTCTTCCAGTAAGTAATTTGTGTTTCATTAGTACCTAATTAAAATATTAAGCTGAATTACGAGCAGGCCATTAAAGTATAGTTTCAAAACCACCGGCTGCGTTTCAAAAAGGAAATGGACGAGGAGGCATTGGAACCAGCTCCAGAAGACAACATGTTCACCCACATGGAGTCGCACATAGAACATATGGGCGAAGACGGGATTGTGACACTTGACCAGCTGACAATAAGCGAACTGGTCCATTGACTGGTCGATTGACAGGTGCCTGCCAGAATATCTTGACTTGTACGCCTTGTGTGAGTCTGAAAAGCCTGTGCCGTTTGTCGATCTTATTGACAGTGACTCGGACTTTATCTCCACTAGAGGTGAGCGCATTATGTCATTCAAACTATACACACGCAAGAACAGTGGCTGACAGTACTTATTGACCCCAGCGAATCTTTACAAACTCTGTTAGATGTGTATAATAAATTCTAGTGTTTAGTGTTTAAAATCTTGTATAGTACATAGGTTGATAATTAATCGACTTAGTTTTAAAAAGATGATTGCATTTTGTATTATAGTATAATATTAATGTAATGTACTATATTTATTTTTTATTATTTCAATTAAATCCAAATGGTTATAGTTTTTTTTTTCATTTCATTCTTGATACCTTCTCACGAACATACAAACCGCAGACTGAGTAAAATCACCAGCTCGTGGAACTACAAACAATTTAAAAAATCGCATCTATTACATAATCATTATTCTAAAAGACGAATTCAAGTCACTAATAGCAAGTAGTCTCTTATCTCTTTAGGTGTGCCTCTTTCAACTAAAATACCTACATACAATCAAACTTTGAGCTTCCTTATAAGGTCTATAGAGTTCACGTTTCTGAACCATATTATGTTAACACTGTTAAACGTACCTACACAATTTTATTACCAGCAGATATTATAACAGATACTCTCTTCTTGAAAAGACAATGCCGGAAATTGGCGTCTTATTTTTTGGTGCGGCCATCGATCAAACTTTGTTTTTTGATTACAAAATAGTGTAATAAACCAAACTTACTATGACATGATATGTAAGAAATTGCAACAAAATATTCCGCTTTTTTTTTTGCGCTGATTCTACTCCACACTGATGTCTGGAGCCTTTAATGGATGGTATTGTTTGTTTACACATACAATGTCACTATTTTGTTGCAATTTCATAAAAAACTTGCGCGCAAAAAGCAAATCTAGTATGTAAATCATCAAACTTCTAATGCTCGTAACTCAGTTCAGACTGAGTTTAGAGGTATACATGCCGTAGTAAGTTTGGTTTATTACACTATTTTGTAATCAAACAACAAAGTTTGGTTGATGGCCGCGCGAAAAAAAAAAGACGCCACTTTCCATACAAAATCTGGCATTGCCATTTGAAGATATGTTATACTTAGGTATACATATTTATTATTATAACATCTAATTATTAAACATAAATTTTACAAACTAAACTATAGAAACTAGAAAATTAAAGAAAAAAGAAAAGAGTAAACTAATAACAAGACAAAAATAACTATAAATAAATTAATAACTAATAAATACATAAAAAGAAACTCATAAAACTCATTTATTTATGCATTAGGCTTTAAAAAAGCACTTTTACACATCCCAGTATTAACCCTACCACTGCTTCAGGACCATAAATGGACCAGCAGCGCAAGGAACTTAGTCACATCATCACACTAAACAAAAAAAACATACCTTGAATAATTGATATTAACTTTTTCTTCAGTCGTCATTTAAATCTACAGCCTGCAGTCTTTCCTGAATTACACAATTCGACCAAGTCATGGTTTTTATCTTTGGCATTGACCAACTCATTCATAGTGTCTGGCCAAGTATCACATAGGTACTCGTCTTTGCCCTGGAGTTTCAAGTGCAACTCCATAATAGGGCATGGAAAAACATTGCTTTCTTCAGTCGCTTTTGATTTCTCCTTTAATTCTTTTGGTATGTGAGACGGCGATGGTTCCAACCAGGCTTTGACAGCCTGGCCGCTAACAGATCACAATACCTTTGGTCATACTTCGATCCTCTTTGAAGACGTATTCTTCTTCTTTGCTGACGAAGTCACCATCAGCTTCAGACCATCGGCTGAAGGAACGAGTGAAAAGAAAATGTCTGTACTGAATTATACAATTCGGCCAAGTCATTGTTTTTATCTATAGCTGTAAATTTTGCTCCTACTCACTCCGATCCTCTCTAGCGAAGTATTATCTGCTTCAGAAAACCACCAACGCCATAACCTTCTATGGGGTAATCTCTGCGCGTCACCAACGGCTTCAGTCCATCGGTTGCAGGAACGACTGAAAAGACAATGCCTGTATAAGCCGAGTCATGGTTTTTATCTACAGTTATGAACTTTTCTCCTACTTACTCTGACCCTCACTGGAGAAGTAACGTCTGCTCCAGAAAACCACCAACGCCTAACCTCTGTTGGCGAGTCACCACAGGCTTGAGACCACTAGCAGCAAGAACAACTGAAAGTACAAAGGTTTTTTTTAGTTAAATATCTACTGTAAATTATTTAAAAACAATGTCTTTAGATTTAGTATAAACATTATCAATATTAAAAGGCATTTATAAATAATAAAACTTACAATGGTGTGTGGAGTAAGTGGCCATATTGAAAGTTAAACGTGGTCAAACCGTTGCCACTCAGAGAGTTAAACCAATTCCTCTATGTTGCCACTGCTATAGTGACGTGAATTTCGCAATCAAGTCTTGAAGCCCAAAAAAGCATCATTATAAATATTTGATTTAATAATAATTACCTAGCTTCTTAGTAAAAATTAGACTGTTACTTTATGTAGGTTTTAAAAATTATAAAAGCAGAATAATCAAAAAAGACATCTTGTCGTTGTGTTTTTAGGCGTTATAAAATAACGGAAAATACTAATTAATAGCTTGAAAAGGAACGCACCGCAGTCGCCATCTAAACGGGTATGACTGGAGAAGTTGCTTCGGCCCGAAAAAAAAAGAGTTAGCTGAAAAAAATTGAAGATCGTTATTTAAAAAAAAATGCCGAATCTTTTAAACAGGTGTGTCTGGTACAGCTGCCTTCAAATCTTTGTAACTAAATCTAAAAAAGAAAAAGAAAAATTAGGTAAATATTTTATCTATGCTAAAACAAATGGCTATTCGTTCTATTGGCATTAATATATGGCTTCAGAACTATGCCTCTAAGGTGATGGTTCATTTATCATAGGTAAGACAGTGTAGGTAATACCTTCCCCTCTAGACAATGTAATAATATACTCGTAAATGACAGATTAAATTTCTAAAACGCTTTACGGAGAAAAGTCGGAACGAAGCGATTTCGGAAAAAAAACTTTTACTCTGTGTCTGCTGCACGTGTCTGTCTGTGATACTGTATCGTAGATTAGATTAATCGATTTTTATGTTTCGTTTCTTAAAACGTTAATTTATTTAATTAAAAAAACCTTAATTCACACAATCCGTTGTATTCGATTTAAAAACGTTTAATCGAACAGGACACCAAGGTGACCCGGTAGCCTAACATAAAATCTTTAATCATATCAAATAAAGCACTATTATTAGAACATTCTACCGTCTTTTTCGACTTTTAAAACTCGACACAGCTGCAAAGTAACGCCACCAAAACCGTTTCACTTGTTAGATCCGTTAAAGATGATACAAAGATACCCGCAAAATTTATAAGTAGTGCTTCCCAACTGGTGCTGAGTGGTGCAAAGTATTTTAATTTATTTCAAAATGTTTTCCAATGTATTGATGACCGCGTTGACTCCGCTGTGTAATACAGATGAGGTAATTCATTATAATCAACATATTTATTCTTGTCCTTAATTTTATCACATTCCTAACTACTGAACCGAAAGATGTCCACTGCTTGCGAGCTCGAATGCGGGCAGCACAGATACAGTTTTTATAAAAATCCTTCGCCTTGTGTATCTCCATTTATGAGCATTTTAATCACATCACATCATAAGACAGTTATTCGTGGATGAATTTTAGTATGTTTCAGTAATTTAATTAGTATTCAGACTTCGAAAACTTGTATTGAAGCTGCATGTTTATTGAAATATTCAAACTATTTTTACAGAATAGTAGCTGGCAAAATCGACCATTTACCGGCGACTGGCCTGAAAACCAGCAAACATTTAACACAACACAGATGATCGCCGAACCAAGAAGTAAGTGCACTTGCATTTGAAATAACAATTGCTTATTTCTTTAGACAAAATAAGCTCTATTCATGGTTTAAATAATATGTATCACTTAGTTACCACACGTTTTTGAGCAAACAGTTGAAAAAAAATGTTGCTTTTATTAATAAAATAAATAGCCTACTTCTTGGACCTTCTACACAACTCTAGTTCCAAACTAAGCAAAGCCAGGAAAGACTGCGGATAAAAATATACTTATTATGCTTTCTTTTGTAAATACTATTTTATTCGTAGAAAACTTCCACGCCAATACAACGACATAGTTGACGTAGACACAAAATGTATTATATTATGCGGGAATTGAACTCGCGATCTTCATCACCATAGTCTGGTACGCAAATGATACAACATCTACTTTACAATGTAGTTTTAATGTTTAACTTTCATGTAACAATTGCCATCAGCCACCGCAACATTTTAATATAAGTAGGGATCTTTAATTAGTTAAATTGTTATTCTTATTTTATTGCTTCTATTTCAGATCCAGTAATTAATAGAACTATAAAGAAAAAAAAGCGACACCGTACCGCGTTTAACACGGATCAATTACTAGCATTAGAGCATACGTTTGCCAGAGCAAAGTACATTACTGGAGATATGCGCAGTGACCTTGCCAAGTCTCTCAATATTGGAGAAAGATGTATCAAGATTTGGTTCCAGAATAGAAGAATGAAGGAAAAAAAGGAGTCTTATGAATCAAGCGACGGTTCTGAAACAAGTAGCGTTATGGAGGAATTACCAGTTGGATTACCAACTCTCCAGGAAATCGCTAATGGCAACACTGTTCCTCAAGTCCTGCCTTATAACCATACGTACTCCCAAATAGGAGCGGTAGGTGATAATCAATTTTATATGAACCAGTTAACAGACGTTCTGATGCATGACTTGTCCAATCAACTTTGTGACCGCTCTGAGAGTAATCGTGGAGTCGCGGAGGACTCACCTACTGCTGAACCGTTTGCTGATGATAGGAGTACTTACCCTACATCTTACTTTCCTACGTTGGCAGACTATTTTTCGGGAAGAAGCTACCAGTATGATACGCAGCAATACGATTCTAGTAGCACTATCAGCGCTGAAACACAGCAGTATGAGAATAATGCCACTGAGACACAGCAGTACGAGCCTAGCAGCATCAATGCCACTGAAACGCAGTGGGCAGCTAGCAGCGTCAACAGCGCTGAAACGCAGCAGTACCAGCCTAGCAGCATCAATGCCACTGAAACGCAGTGGACTGCTAACAGCGTCAACAGCGCTGAAACGCAGCAGTACGAGCCTAACGGCGTCAATACCACTGAAACGCAGTGGAGTGTTAGCAGCGTCAACAGCGCTGAAACGCAGCAATACGAGACTAGCAGCATCAATGCCACTGAAACGCAGTGGAGTGCTAGCAGCGTCAACAGCCCTGAAACGCAGCAGTACGAAACTAGCAGCACCAATCCCACTGAAACGCAATGGACTGTTAGCGACTACGAGACTAGTGGCATTAATGCTACTGAACCGCAGTGGACCGCCAGCTATTTTAATTTTAATTATTTCCAATGAGTCAATACATTTTTATTTATGATATTAACTGCGTTTTTATAACGCAATGTAATATTTTATCATGTTCCGCTTGTGACTATTGTAATTTATTCAAAATAATATTATTTTTACTTACAACAAATAATAAAAATAATAATATAAATACTTAGGTAGATTATAATAATGTAGTGAAGCTTTAATTTAATTATGTGGTATTACTGCTACTTTCATAATTTTTAAACGAAATTACATTTGCAAATCTCCAAGTGATTATTATTATTATGTTTAATAATATTATGTGTTAGAAATGTAAATAAGCTGTCGATATAATATACTATGTGCTTTACGTACTCAAGTTAGTTATTATATATTTTAATAAGTAATAAGTATATTATTATGTACAGAATTGGCATAGAATAGTTCTGTTTAAGTACATGGTATTGATATTTAAAACTCAGTGAGTCTGAAAAAGATTTTCTAGACAGTGAATTATTAAGCCTGTGTTTTTAGATTTAAGGTTATTTATTATTATTTATTCAGATTACATATTTTTAAATCAACTGACTAAGTTCTATGGAATTAATGAAGTGTTTGATGAATATCAGTAGATATCAATATTGTTTTAGTTTTTTAAGATAGATTAATAACTAGTGTCGAATTTAAAGCATTATAATAATAATTTATCGAATAATTTATACACTAGAAGTGTTCCACTTCCGAAATTCTAATGGTTTTTACTTTTGAAACTTGAACCCTTTTCATATTTCCATCCTAAATATTTCTATGATCTAAAGGGACACATTTGTTCTTTACTATACTTTTAGTCTTAACCATAATGTTAAAATTACTAAGGATTTATGTAACATACTTTTATTATTGAAATAAAGATTACCCCAATATTTTTTTTTATTTCAAATCTTATACAATAATAACAACTGGTACATACACAATACATCGTCAACCTTGTTCTATAGGTACTGGAACGGTAACATTACTTTATAACTGTAAATACATGATTAAAAACATCAGACATTTCCATTGTATCTTAGAAATTCAAATTGACTATATGGGTTTACCCATATTGATTTGCAATAAATTTTAATAAAATACTTTTTATCCACAACATAGTTTCGTCATAATTTAATAAATCATTAACATAATTATTATCAACAAATAGATAAGAATAAATAAGATTAAAATTAAATAATTAATACTTAGTTAATAATTTGTTCTATTTAGGTTTATTTGGTGAAGTAGCTATTTCAGATTTGACTTGAGGACTAGAGCTGGATTCTGTTGAAATGGATGGCGGAGCATCAGTGGTGGATGGGGGAGCATCATTGCGGCAGTTACATTTGCATTTTTTGCAATGCGGAGATGGAGCCCTCAACAGGGGCCCAGGTGGATTACCAGGCACAATACCAGGCACATTCACCCCGGGCACTCCAGGCTGCATTATCGGCACAACATTCACTGGCTTCCATAATATATTCCCCGCAGACAAAAGAGACTGCGTGTAATTCACGTAAACGGGAATTAGACCTGAATTTGACGGGCTCACGCTAGTTTGAGGACTTGGCAACCGACTCTTACTACTCGATTTAATCGAAAGGTCTTCAGGCAAAGATTGTTGCTCAAATCTTGATACGCGTTGCCGCTGTGGCAATCGTGGAGGTGTTGTAGGTACTGGTACTGGTATCGTATGAACTTCTTCCGTTTTACTTTGTGGTTCTTTGACAATATTCTGGTATTTCTTACATAAGTCTATTGAAAATTCTGCAGACGAACGGTATTCCGATTGAGAACTAGATTTGGTTGATTTGCTGGATTGCGCTTTAGGTGATCTGAGAACGATGGTTTCTGGGACCGGTGATATTGATTCTTTGTAATATTTAAGTTTGTCTGTATCAAAATCCTGTCCTGAATTAGGTTCCGAGTCTGTCAAGTCTATATGCTCAACATGGCTTACCATTGGAGACACTGTCAGTTCTGGTAAAGGGTTGGGATTGGGAGGTTCATTGATTAGTGGTATTAACTGAGTCGATATGCCAATTTCTTCATTGACAAAGTCTACGGGACTCGTGAAGCGTTGGTCATCAATTTCTAGGTAGCCTAGTTCTTGGTCTTTCTTTTCTCTCATTCGACGATTTTGGAACCACACTTTTATTGCTTTTTCGGGAATATTCAAGTAATCTGCTATTACTTTACGTTGATTTTTATCTATGTACGGAAATTTCTTGAACTCCATTTCCAAGAAGTTGATTTGCTCTGTCGTGAAGGCAAGTCGATTTCTTTTGCTTTTCTTTATTGGGATTTGTTGTCCTCGTAAGTCTATCTGAAAAATGTAATATAATCAATTATCATTAATGAGGTTCTTCGACATCTTAAATGATATAAAATATGTAAATTAAAGTAATTGTGGAGTGGTAGGATTTTCCATAAAATCGATGAAAGATAAATAAAGATTGATCACATCAAATAATTACGTAAGATGGTTAATATAAAATAATACTGCAGTGGAGAACCACGTCTTGCCAAGAAATAATAGACCAACGATGTATTTACCTACGTAATGTCGATTAATCGGAATCAATACCGTGCGTCGAAAAATACTCAAGCTAATGATAATGATGATGAATATTTCTAGCATTACACCAAATAGTGTAAAGATAATTATTTCGTTTTATTGTAATAATAATTAGATATTGTTGACTGATGACGTCATTACTCATTAGTTAATTATGTATAATTACTGACAACATTTAACGTGGCAGACTTAGTTAAAATTCGATTCATCATAATTTTCACAAACAGTTTTAAATTTCATGTATTTTATTGGCGCTGAAAAACTAGTATGTAGATTCCACAATTTTGTTCCAAATGTGGCATGCGTTATTGTTTTCTTTATATAATAATAGTTAATACCTACATACCATTTTTCAGTTACACAAGTACCATTTTAAATTTTAATAAATGATATTTAAAAATTTTGTTTCATTTGTTTAACCATTATGAGACATATACAACTATTAAAGTTTATAATTCAACTTGAATAATTTGTAGTGTCATTTTATAATATTGGATTATAAAAAACTTACAACTTCTGAGACTTCGGTACGAAATGTTTCTTCAGTAGTTTCCTGTATGTGGCGTTGATGATGATGATGAAGACGATAATAATGGTCTCCACTCCCTCCTGGCCTGTTCCACGGATGCATCCTCAACCTAAACATTTCAAACAACACAATATGAACAAAAACAATAAAAACTAATGAACTGTAATTAGCAGTACGAGTATATATAGTAGCCGTTCTTCGCACATTATTTAATTAACATCTTACCTAATCACTAATCAAGCCCATTAACTAATAATAATTATGTTTAATATTAAANCTGTTGCCTCCCTGACCCTAAATCAATAATGAGAATAATGATTTACTTTAAATTTATGCTCACTCAGTATGACGATTGTAAATTTATTAAAGTGTAATGTCAATATGTTAAGGTAGTCGAACATTTTATTTGCCTTAGAAAATCTTTTTTTTTTTCATCATCGAATTTTGTAATTGTTTTTGTATTTATTCGCTAGTGAGATACAGGCCAAGAGTGTGCCAAGAGCATCCTCGTTGTAGTTAAAAAAATTGAAACGAATGCTATTCGCCCAATTTAATTTAATGTTATACATTAAAATATACATTCATTAAAATTAATGTTACACAATATTTATATTCGTCAATTTATTAATAGCCACCATTTCATAAATGACAACCATTTGTTTCGAAATATAAGCCAGACAATCTCCAAAAGAACACAGTTGAATTTTGCGTCCTGAAGCATAAAATTAGCCTTAAAAATCAAGATAAATTTCGTGTTTACAAGTGTTGCAAAAAGTTTTTTTTAATGATGTCGTGATTTACCCCAAAACGTCTCAAATTGCTTTGGTCCAGTGTACAGTGTGTGTGTTTCAAGAAAAAAAAAGTGAGGTGTATGTAGTCGGTTAGCAGATTCGAATTTGTGCTGATCATCATTCATCGCATCATCATCATGTAACGCGCTAGGGCGCGCTTAACGACTTTACTGTGTGCTCAGTGATACCCAACGAGTTGTAAGTATTGCTTAGGATATAAATAGTTTTGTTTTGAACCTATTAACTAATTGTTCATGTGAGATAAAATTAATGAGTTAAATGATAAGTTTTTGTCNTCTTTGCCGGCTTGTAACGGATTCCATTTCTTATTTCCCAGGTTGAGAGCCGGTATTGCAGTCACCAGTTACCTTGCCTGACCATTGAAGTTTCCACGTGAGCATCGGAGTCTTAATATGAAATTCGTTATGTGAGTAATACTTACGATTATTATACTATTTTTTATTTTGACAAATACCCTTTGTTACTTACTTCATAACATTATTGTGGTATAAGTACTGTTTTATCTTGATATGCTCAGAACAGTTGATCGGTACAATATACTTCACTGAACACTGAATCTATAGCAGATTATGTACCATCCTAGGCTGCATCCCACTTAACACCAGGTGCGATTGTGGTCAAATAGTACCTGCCTTGTTCTGCACTATTAAAGTCTCCTCTCCACAAGTCAAATCTTTAGGAAGATTCGATGTTTAAAAATTATAGCATAAATTTTTAATTGCTTCAACTACGCGTACGCTCAGAATATGATGTTACTTATTTGTATGTTGATGTTACGCCCTACAGTTTTGTAACGTCTGGTATAATATTGTAATGACCTAGCGAAATCAGACCCCGAAAATAATTTATTCCAACTAGAAATGAAAGTTTTAAATTTTTATTCGCAGATCCATCGACATCATGGTGCTGAAATACTTATCTGCCTACGTAAGAAATAAATTAAGAATGGAGCGCAAAAAGATGCCTACATCGGATGGAAGTCTTTCTTAGTGATCAGTGATTAATTCAACATCCTACAGTTCTACACACGACTCCATTTTGAGTTTTCCGTACTGGTAAATGACGTTACAGCGTTTATTTACTACCCACAGAATGCATCAAAATATCGATAGTAGATACTGTGTTTACGAAAAACATAAAGATTAACAAATTAACAATGCTTCACACAAGGACATAATGTCAATTACCTATAATGGTCATTGTCGTTGAAATCGACAAAATGAAAACT